ATCATCGTAGATGTCGTCCTAGAGGTCGTGCTAGATATAGTTCTTGACGTCATTCTTTACGTCCTAAAGGTTGTCCTCGACATCGTCCTATACATCGTAGTTGAGGTCCTAGAGGTGATGTTTTTGTGTCGTCATCTAGGACGTTGTCCTCGTTGTGGCTTTTCTTGAGTGGACTTACTAAGGTCAGTCCATGCAAGACGGCTAAGCTTAAAGAGCCCTCCAAGTTTTTATCATGTATACCAACTGGCTAAATTTTTTATCACGCTGCAGTTCGTTTCATACAAACAGTAATGGAAAGAGACCCCCCCCCCATATGTTGTCTAAATCTCTTATTCTGACCCTTCCACTTGTGAATTTTTAATTTTCCTTACTCCAGACTTGGTTTGTTGAAATAAATTTTATAGTCTAACAAAAATACAAACTAGTGCATCTGACAAATGCCGATTGTGAGAATAAGAAGCAGGTAAGTTTGTGAAAGTCAAATGTTGCAACATTAACCCTAGGACAAATCTAAAAAACGACAGTTTAAAAATTAAAAGGTAAGTGGATGACACAAGCCTCACTTCTTTAGAGGTTACGCTTTCCTACCTCAGTTCAAACAAGGGTTGTCACTGCACAATGCAATCCTTGTACCTATTTAAACACGACAAAGGTTAGGAAGACATGCACACGAGTGCATGCTCTGAGGGGGGCCAGACCAGATAAGTGCAAATAACTATGTGGTTTGGCCAGGTATGAGGACAACACAGGCCGAGCCAACCTGCTGTCCCATCAAATCCTGCAAAAGGTTGTGGCAACCCTACGCTACAATGAAGAGAAGAATCTGCACCAGCATCGACTCTATATTTGACCAGCAAAAAAACATTGTTTCAAAAGCTCCTATTGCCTTAGAATGCGAGAGCATAAAAATAAGTTCTGTTCAGACGGCGCTTTCGTGAGACTCGACAGGTCTCTGCTACGCTAAAAAATATTAAACAAATTGAGGAGGAACAACAACAACACAAAAGTACTCTCCGCTTCCATGATGTAACACTTCACTTTGCTTAAGTCTTCATTTACAGACTAGAGAGCAGCTCAAGAGACCATTTTGACAATCTGCAGCCACAATCTCGGAATCGAACGATGGCATCCGATGAAAGTTCCTTGGCCTTCCCTACTCCTTGCGTACAGCAGGAACCCTAGAAAAGGAAAACGGGAAACCAATTTTGCCACGTTTTGAAACGCAGGTCGGTCCACCCTAAAAAAGTCATATCTAAAGGCACCACAAGCAATCATAAGCCCCAGACAACAATAGGAAACTGAATCGGTCGCACACGGAGCTTATCGCAGTCTCAGTTTTGGATACACCTACAGGCATACGCGAGAAATGGGAGGGTATTCGCGACTCCAATTCACTACAACGCTTTAAGTGCGATATTTTCTTTTTGCCATTTAATTGTAATTTTATGCTGGAGAAAATCAGGAAAAGTAAAAAAAAGCCTGCCTCAACATTTTTGACATCTTTATTTTTTTAGGACACAGGTTTGCAGGGTAAATCACTTCAGAATGCTTGTAATTGTCATCAAGGGTGATTATACTGTTTAGATAACTAAAAGTTACTTCACTTTAAAAGGTTCCTGCGCTCATACTTCTGAAGGTGTCACAATGCAAAGTTTAAAATTGGACTGCAATATGCATTTCCATTTATGACATAGTAAAAATAGTAAAAAAATTGTAGTTTTAACGTTTTTTATGCAATATGACTGTAGACAAATCAACTAACGGATTTACAATTGATTAGTTTATTAAAGGGTAGCAACCAGTCGGGTTAATTTTTTTTTAACCCAATGAACATTCAATGTTTTATGAGAACTATGGATTGTGCTAGATAGCAAAAATATGTGCGACCAGCGGTTCCACAAACCACAACACTAAAATTATGGAAGAATATGAAATGGTGAAACGACACAACACAACTTTTAGTAAGAAGAAATGACAACACAAACGAGCAATTCATGAGGGCCCAGCTCAGCCAGAAATGCACTTGCATCGCCAAGATCCATGCTTCTGAACGTGCGCTCGTAGCAGACGACGCACGGCGGTACCTCCGCTTTCGCGTGTTTACAATTTTGGCCGCACTGTGGCGAAACGGTTCGATCTCGAGGCAAATATGCAAATATTAAAACTCTCTAGTAAGGTACAATCCCGTTCCGGCTGCAGCACTACATTGGGACAGTGAAGAGTGTTGTATGCTTTCGGAAATGACATTTCGCGAGCCATCGCGTGCAGTTTTGCCGTGCCCGCTAAGCAGGAGAACCAGGGGACCCTCAACAGAGCGCTTCCCGTTTCTGCCACGGGAGGGCGAGCAACGAGCTGGAGACGCGAGTAAGAACAGCCTTCATGTCCAGCGACGCTGGTAGTAACAACCTCAGCAAGTACACAGTGACACTAGCAACTGCCTGTGACTATACGGTGGCACCAGTGAAGACCTCCAGAGGCAACACCCTCTGTGAATGTACAGTGACACTAGCAACAACCTCTGCAAGTGTACAGTGACACTACCAACAACCTCTGCGAGTGTACAGTGACACTAGTGAGGACCTCCCATGAATGTAGTGACACTAGCAACAACCTCTGTGAGTATACAGTGACACTACCAACAACCTCTGCGAGTGTACAGTGACACTAGTGAGGACCTCCCACGAATGTACGGTGACACTAGCAACAACCTCTGTGAGTGTACAGTGACACTACCAACAACCTCTGCGAGTGTACAGTGACACTAGTGAGGACCTCCCATGAATGTAGTGACACTAGCAACAACCTCTGTGAGTATACAGTGACACTACCAACAACCTCTGCGAGTGTACAGAAACACTAGTGAGGACCTCCCATGAATGTACGGTGGCACCAGCAACACCCTCTGTGAACGTACAGCGACACTACCAACAACCTCTGCAAGTGTACAGTGACACTAGTGAGGAACTCACATAAATGTGTGGTGACACTAGCAACAACCTTTGTGAGTGTACAGGGACACTAGTAAGAACCTTAAAGGGCCCCTGAAAAGAAAAAAAAAGTTTTTTTTAAACAGTCTGGTTGGAACACGCGTGCCAAAAAATGAATTTTACGCGAAAAAAAAAATTTTTAGAGCAATATTGACGGCGAGAGATTTATTTGAAGTTTTGCGCACAAATTCCATGGTCATTCAGCTCGGCTTCTCATTGGTAGCGATGGTCATTCAACTCAGCTTCTCATTGGCCAATAGAATGAGTGACAGCTTAGATGTTGGTTTTAAAATCTTCGTGATTTTTTTAAATCGCCTTTTGAACTACATATTTTTAGGTTTAAGAAACAATCCATCAAATGAATGTCGCAATTGTTTACAAACGTTTTACAAAATCGTAACTTCCGTTCGGATACCACAACAAAACAACAAACAAAAGCTTCGCCATTTTGTTTTCTGTCGGTGTCGCCGTCTTCGCGTTTCGCGTTCTGAAGAGGGCTTGTTGCTTGTGTTAGTTAGTCAGTCATAGTAAGTACTTAGGAAGTGGCGCGGGGTGACAGGTTTCTGTTTTTCTGCTCTTTGCGCGATTCGTGTGTCCCGTTTACCTCATCTTTTGTTTGTTTTCTGGCGCGCGCCAGTGCCAATGTTTGTTTAGATGTCGGTTCCCGTGGTTCCCGTAAAGAGTTTAGTGAGGCACGCGGCACCGCACTCAACGTTTAATAAAAAAAAAATCAGTTACCACTGCGTGTCCTCGCGGCGGCTTGAAGGATCGTGCGGCTCGAACGAACTCGTCGAGGCACCCGCTTCGCCGCGGCGAAGCGGGTGCCTCGCGGCGATCGGAGCGGACGCCTTCCGGCTGGCGAGGCGTGTCCTCGTACGGACGAAGGCCGAGCTGCTGGCAGCGTTGAAGCAACCGACGCTTCAGGTCGGGGTCCACCGCGACGACTATGTACTGTGTGTACGACCACGGTGACCACGGTACGTGCACGATACGACGCGATATGTCGTTCGACCGGCAGACAGCCGGCCAGGGGCTGTGTTCCAAATCTCCAAATGGATCCGAGTTTCTCCGGCGGATCGTATCACGTGACAGCACAGATTGAAAAACGCTGTACGCGGGTAGGTTTTAGAACGCCAAGAGTACAAAACCCTCACCCTGGGGTAAGATCGAGTCAATTTTGGAACACGGCCAGGAAGTAGCAATGGCTCTCGTGCAGGGCGCAGCCAAGCCAGGAAAGCAGCCAAGCCGATCCACTACGAAGAGGCGGGGACTACCTCTCCTCCAAGCGCCCGAGATACCGAGAGAGAGAAAAGTGGAAAGGAGGTGACTGCCGACTACATTGCGTCTGGCGCAGTCAATATTGCTCTAAAAAAATTTTTTTTTCGCGTAAAATTCATTTTTTGACACGCGTGTCTCAACCAGACTGTTTTTGAAAAACTTTTTTCTTCTTTTCAGGGGCCCTTTAAGCGACATTAGCAGCAGCCTCTGTGAATGTACAATGACACTAGTAAGAACCTCCAGTGACTACAGCCTCTGTAAACAAACAGCGATACTAACAACAGGCTCTGAGTATACAGTGACACTAGCAGCAGCCAGCCTCTACAAGTTAACAGTGACACAGTAAGGACCTCCAGTGGTGCTAGCAACACCCTTGGAAAGGACCTCCAGTTAAACGAACAACACTGTCTGTAAGAACCTCCAGTGACACTAGCAACACCCTTCGACCTCCAGTGAAACTAACAACACTGTCTGTAAGAACCTCCAGTGACACTAGCGACACTCTCGGTGGGGACCTCCAGTTACACTAGCAACAGCCTCCAGGAGTATACAGTGACACTACTAAGGACCTCCAGTGACACTAGCAACAGCCTTCAAGTATACAGTGACAGTAGAAAAGACAGTTTGGATCTCCAGTGACACTAGTAAAGGCCTTCAGACGTGTCCAGTGAAACTACTAGAGACAGTCTTTTGTAATGCTCACATTACAAGAGACAATACAAAGTAGCTGTGCAGACCTGTGATGGCTCCTTGCACTTGTTCGGGGGGAGGGGCGAGTAAGCCCTTCACTGAGATGCCTTGAGCAGCTTGACTGATCCCGCAGGCATGGGCACCCCCCGCTCGTCCACAATGTAGGGTCCTTGGTAGTACCTCCACAGGATGGCCGAGCCTCTCTTCAGCTGCCCCTGCAGTCCCACAGCCACCACGTCTCGTTAACCGAGTCATACAATGCCACTAACTGAACAGTAATTGCGAGCTAGCTTAATATTAGGGGTGCCGGCTGTGTTGCAGTAGGAACGACCCGGCGGCAGCAGTAATTAGCCGCTGAAAGCAAGACGGGCGTGACACGGTGACGCAATAGCTAATTGTACAGTTGTTACCGCAGCCACACAGTTGCAGTTGTACACGACCCTGAGAAAAAAAGAAAAGAAACTTGTTTCTAAATTTTATTTTGTGGCTGTGACATGTAGCAGCCATACAGAGGTACCGCAAGCAACATTGATCGAGCCACGGAGCTTGATGCTAACAGCACAATGGGCTCATTCGATTTACCTGCACTGGTGCAGGAAAGCATAGCCTGATGCAGAAAAGTGTGGGGCGATGCACTTTCAGTTGCGTTTTCAGACGGGCGTGCACTGGTAAATCGAACAGAGTGGAGTGTACCAAGTGCAGCTGGTGCTGAAAGTGCGGGTAAATTGAACGAGCCTAGTGTGAGTACCATGGCATAGAGGTACATGGTTGACGTAGTAAGCGAGGGATCTTATTGGGAGTACCAATAACCCTGGGTTCTGTCTTATTAAAACAGCCGTCACTGAACCATTTTGCAAAGTGTCTACTCGCAACTTTTTAGCTCACTGCTCGCGACATTGCAGTCATGGTGGCAGGGCAGTTGACGAGGAAGCTTTAGCAAGGATAATTGACTATGGGACTGCAAGATAAATTTTTGTATAAACTTAAAGGTGACATCCTTCTATTTTTCAGGAACGTCGAAACCCCAAAGGGAGTGGACTGCCAACATGAAGTGATGTGAAACTAAGCTTAAAGGGACACTGACAGGGTATTTATGCTCGCCAAGGTTTTTATTTATACATGACATATGAGAGCCCAACACAGAACACAATTTGCGACTCGAAATTCGTTTACTTCCTGCCCGAAAACCGCCGATCAAGAACTGGCCAGTTTGAGTTGTGCTCACTCTCTTCTCCGTGGTCACAACCACCAAATATAATCAGTCTTGGGTCAGTGAAGGCACACACTCGATATTAAAATATAAAAGAAACATGATACCCATTTTCCATGGCTTCTAAATGCCATAAATATGTTAACTGAAGAAAAAATAGGTTGCACAGCCACGTGACTTCCACCAACCCTCTCCTCCTTTATATTTCATCTTCCTCCCCAGTCCAGTTTCGGTTTCAAACAGTTGCGTTTTTTTACTTTATTAAAAATATATGTGACACTGTAGCGAAATATTGATTGGGTAGTGTTCTGAAGCCGTAATGCCGTAATGTTCTGAAGCGTGGCAAAAATAAAACAACCATTTTGGAGGTGTCAGTGTCCCTTTAACAAGGAATACCAAACCCAACAGAAATGCTAGAGTGCGTGCAATACCGTATTTACTCGCATAATGAACACACTTTTTTCCGCAAAAAATCAACACAGATCTGGGGGAGGGGGGGGGGGGGGGCATTCATTACACGGGTAAATTTTTTTGCATTTACACAGTTCGTGCAAATGTCATATTGGTTGCTGATATGACACACAAGGTACTGTGGAACGTCTCCAGTGATGGAGGCGCACCGACGGCTGGTCGGGGGTGCGCAACAGTAACCATGCTTTATAAGTTCCAAACCTTTTTAGGGCGAATTCAGGGTGCCTTTTGCGGAAGGAAAAGCGCCCTACGAAGCTCGCTCAGTACGAAAAGCAACGGCACCGTTCTTAGGCGATATATATTACCAGTATCCGGCAGCAATTCAGGTATATCCGCGACTACGCGTATGAGAACTCTACGTGGGTCCAAAGGCCGACCGCCGAAGCCCGCTAGCACGGATCAAGTTTCGTTCATGAAGAGGCTACCAGACACTCTCAGCCTACAGCGCAGCGTGCACCTCGCTGAGCCTTTATGTTACGGATTAAATAAACTTATTTACCCGGAGTATGTGAAATTAGGCCTAACCACTTTCATGATTTCACTGTCCGAAAGCGGACCACAGACGACGGCTCGTTTGCTGATATCAATGCATCCGATAGGCGAAGAATGTCCGGGGCTCGGCAGTTCCTCGACCCAAGCTCCGTCAAGTGTGCGCGACACTCGGTTTCACGGTTGATCACTTCCGCAACTAAGCACTCGCGGCCATTATGAGAGCGGTTTGGCTTGGCTTGACTTGGCCTGACCGCTTGACGGCAAAAGAAAACTGGCTTGGTGGCTTGCTAAATTGGACGCAATTCAAGACTCGCAGATCCGAAAATTGGAGGCGAGTTGATTACATATGGGAAAAAAAAGTCCAAATATTGATGCCCGTTGTGGGGGGTGCGTTTATTATGCGAGTAATACGGTACATAAAGTTAGAAATATGAATGGATAATTGCAGAAGCATCAGTTCTTTCCAAACTAACGTTTGCCAGGGCAAGAGCCACGGCACAGTGAGGCAGAAAGGTTACGAGGACGGCGTTGGTTGCATTGGGTGGTAGTTTGGAACATAATAACCAATCTGGCAAGCAACCAACGCAAAACTGATACATATATACCCAGATGTTTCGAGGGACTGGTATTTGGAGTATTTGGAAAAAAAAAAAAAAAAAAAAAATTGGGTTGTGTGTGTGTTTATACAGCCTAGAACTTGGTCTGCCTCACAGGGGCGACGAGTCTCCCAGCTGTAGATGAGAAATTTAGCCAGTGCGGTACAAACCGCTAGCCTGGGGTCTTTAACGTGCGTCACGCAGTAGTGATACACGACCGCACGCCGGTACGATGCTCATCCAGGAGTATCTGGACTGGCATCAGATTAGGTAAAAGTGTGAATATATAATGGGCAAAGAAAAATAAATCAGAAACTTATCCATATGTTTCTCTCGCCATGTCCCTACAACGGCGCGACTCGCTTCCAACCACTCACCGTGGAACTGAGGTGCCTCCAGCACTCTGTCCAGCTTGGATAGATGGGCATGGCGGGCGGGGTGCCAGCCTGTAAACTAATGCAAAGAAACGAGAGAACTGAAGTTCCTGGGGACCTCTATAACCTTTTGCCCTGCATACAAAGCAGGAAGGGCAAGGCATCCCTGAATTTGTAAAATCATAACTGAAGATATTTGTAACACTTGAACATTCCAAATTTTTGTGGCAACAGCTTGACATCCTTCATAGGTATGTTCCAAACAAAAATGGCATCACAGGAAATGACTAGTGCTCTGGATATGTGCAGGGGAAGGGAGATATACTCTGTGTCAATCAATAAAGAACAAGCACCGAAATTGACTGAAGACAACCCTGGCTTATTCTCAGGCTAGGGATGTTGCACCTTTCCTTAACTCTAACCAGGATGAAGAAAACACGCTAGCAGGCTAACTCCTTGCTAATCACTTCCACAATTATTTAAGATATTTCTCAAAACCACGACTCACCTCCCCACGACATCATCCACGGGGTCGGAGCCTTAGGTAATGACTGACAGCAACTCGAACTTACCTGCTCCCAGAAACAGCCATCACTGTTCCCACCAGGGTAAAGGGGTATGTCACTGAACTTGAAAGAAACTGCAAAAGAGAGACAGAGTGGAACAACAGCAATCAATCGTGCAGGCAACACTGCAGTGGTTCTCAAGCATGGATGAGTCGGGGACCTCTTGGGGACCCGCCGGATTGATGGAGGAAAGGGAAGAGGGGAGGGAGGGGGGGGGGGGCATAAAATGAGACAACTAATTTCAGTGTGAAAAGGGCATCCTTTATTGCTATAGACAGCAATGATAAGCATCAAGTAAAAGGGTGAATGAATAGATAGATGTTAACGGCTGCACCCTTTATAACTTGGGGTAGCTTGCATGTGCGCATCACCTATAGCCATGGTCAACAAAAAAACTTTTTTTTTCAAGAAAAGAAAGGGAGGGGGGGGGGGGGGGGGGGGGCAGGCATCGCTAATCATAATGTCTCAGTCGCTAATCATAACGTCAACTTTTGAACCATTCACTCAATTGGCGTGATATTTGCAGGTGGTGTTTGCGGTCATATAGAAAGACAGCATGCAAAGTTTCAGGCCTGTGAACCAATTTTATGGGGTACTATACCCCCAGAACAAAGTAAAGGATAGCTTTGCATTGAATCTGCTCAATGAATCTATTGTTGAGAAATGGTGTTGATAACCACATATTTTTTTGGTGGAACGCATAATGGAATACCTTTTGGCGGTTACTACGAAAAGAAATTTAAAAAATATGAACTTTTTAAGTAAACAAAAATTTATGAAAACAAACTTTTTTTTTTACATACACAAAAGTTTGCAAATTACAATTTTTCATTATGAAAGAGCATCAAAATTCAAAATCTAAGTTCATGGTAACTGGCTCCATAAAATTTTGGCATATAAACCGCAAATATTAAGTCTCTCAATAGTTCCATACTGGAACAATAGCTTTTTAAGGTAAAATTTATGCTAAAAACTCGAACGGAGAAAAATGTGTTCAAGGTGCTCGAATCTCTACCTTTTCTTTAGCATTGCTGGACTGAAAATAATTTGTAAAAAATAACTATGCAGTGTAAACAAATGAAACTTTCTGAGAATTCTCTCTGGATATTGGTAGATATAAGTATGACATTTTTCAAATTCAACTGTTTTTGCAGAAATTTGTTTTTTCTCAGTAGTGTTCCCCTTTGAGAATAATTTTCGCAATGTTCTTTTCAATTATCATTATTTGAGTAGAGAACTTGGCTAACCTATGAGGTGATTAAATTACAAGTAAGGTGCACACATACACTTTAGCTCACTCTTTCCGTCATTATTTAAGCTGTCACACAAAAATCAAAGAGAAGAAATAGGAATGTCTCAACCAAGCCAAAAATCTTTGTAAAATGAAGTTTGAATTACACACCTTGCATCTATTAAAATAAACATACATTAGATGAGCTACAATAATCATGTGGCTTAGTGAAGTAACAAGCAAAACCATTGATGCTTCTAAATCAACATCCAATTACTTATCCAATTGAGGCAAGTACTCTATTTGCTCGAGTAATAGCCACACTTCTTATGAACCAGGCCCTTGTGTCTACTATTCTGCAAAAGACACATAAAGCCAATCATTGCATTCAGCATAAAAAATGAAGCGAATAACAAGGTCGAGAGCACGATTCTCCGTAAAAATGCAATCTGAACAGAGAGCAATTTCGCTTGAAGACATTATCTCTGTCCCGTAAATCGCTGCCATTTTTCTGCCGATTGCGGTGATTTGCTATCCCCGTGTTCCACGGGAAAGCAGACCCACAGGCATTGTTCATAAGAGCTGCGGCTATTACTCGAGCAAATACGGTACTTTTCAAGCATCCAATTGCATTTGGTACCAAACAATCTAGACAAGTACTGTTTGAATACCAATAATTTCAGTTGTGATCAAACATGTTTGTTTTCGTTAATGTGCATGAGGCTCTCATAGCCAACCTTAGGCTTACTTCAAACAAGAGCATTGGCAGATGAGACTGTCCCGTTAATATTGGCTTCTGCATTACGAGCAAGCAGCCTTCAGACCTGCATGCCACCTTGCAAGCTCCTCGAAAACACTCCGATCACACCTGATCACAGAAACCATAGAAAAAAACAAAAAAACTTCACTCACCAAAGTTGTAGCACTGATGTAGCTTTGTAACGTCTGCAAACAGAGGAAGGAACTTTCCTTAGACATCAATTTGCCACCCCAAAGGTAATGCCTATTGTTATGATGTGTGTACAAAGTGCCAGACTCCACGCATCACCCTAAAAGTGTGTTATAAATTTTCGCCGACAACTCGAGCATTCCGTTATCAGCTATGGGAGTGCAAAACTGATCTATCGTAAAATACTGAGCATGTGCCCATGTCACAATAAGTACCCACCCGCTAGTTACGAAACATTAAAAAGATAAACGAAGGACGTTTCCAGCACCCATCAGACTTCTGGGCCTACCTATAATTGACGACAGGCTAAGGGTTCAGAGCGAGGGGAAGGAAGGCTGGGGACGAGGAAACGGGCGGAATGGTGGAGAGAGGGGGATGTTTCTTCTTCTACTCTCCAACAATAACCTGCTTCCTCCTCCCCCAACCTTCCTTTCTCTCGCCCTGAAATCTTAGCCTGTCGTCAACTATAGCTAACAGAGGTGCTCCTCCGTGTCAGACCCTTGTCCCGAAACACCGGCGCAAAGCAGTGAAGACCACGCTCTCGTGTGCCCCTTTGCCATTTCTGTCCTCTGACATAACAATTGTTCATCCTTTAGTTTTTAAAGATTATATCTCCGAAGTTTGGGTGGGTGTTTGTTCAGTATTTCATGGTATAGTAAACTCACAGGTTCCTTCAGTCGTTATGCCTCCAGAGCGAACTTCCTACCTTGAACAACAAGTCTCGAGCACATTGAGCACCTCGAGCGCAGCCAAATCAAGGCAGAAGGCATGGAGCGCGTCTGGAGGCCGGGCGTTTGAAAGACATGCCCTGCCGGTCCCACTCTGTCAGTAACTATATTATCAAAATTTTCTAACAATTTAATTGTCAGTCCGTGCCACCCGCACGTGGTCAATGTTGCGAGCACAACGGGGTCAACAGACTGCCGTTAAAAATCGAAATCTCGCCATCTTTCATTGGCTCATGGCCGGTCATTGGCCAATCAAGGAGGGTTTGCAAACCGACATTCGCAAGACCTGCCCGCAAGAATGGGAATGCCGGCCCACCTACCTTGTCCTGTACGATGTAGGCGTTGATCACAAAGGCTATCGTACTCGCGAACCATATCGTCAGCACTTCTCCAATCAGTCGGGGCACCAAGCCACTGCAAGCGGGCATCGAGCACTGCATCAGAAGACTTCCGGACCCATAGCGCACAAGACGACAGGAAAGCTGTGCCGAACCCCTTATAGCTAGCTGCCAATCACGATAATATAATACTCCCTTGTTTGGCAGTCTGCACTCTGTTAGCTATTCTGAAAATGCTATAAGCACGAGACAAATACCCTTCCTATACCATTCTACCTCTCAGAGGCAGTAAAGTCAAGGCTACAGCACAAGAAGCTTGCTTTGGAAAGGATCTACGGTCACACGAGGGCAGGAAGCTGTAAAGCTACGAGGGCATGCTTCCAGCCTTAGTTTTGGCAATACTAAGTAAAACAAAGCATAAGGCACTCCCTCCACATGAGCACACACATGCAGAAGGAACTCTTCTTTCGGAACTGCCGGCTAATGCTCAAAGGTTTTTCTGACAAGCTGAAGAGAATGCAAGCAGATGAGGCTAATTGTGGCAGATACAGTCGAATCTCGTTAACTCGAACACGCTTAATTCAACCTCTCGGTTTATTTGAACTGACGCTATGGTTCAATCCACACCATATGTATTTCAATGTACGAAAACGCCCGGTAATTTGAACGCTTGAGCATTCGTGCCGGTTAATTCGAACATCCCGCGCCGCTGACCATGCTCTCAGGAGCGGGCTTACTCACGAGGCAGCGACTCCGACCCGGCAGTGTGGCCACACTATGCCGTTCGTCAGCTGCTACTCCTGACTTCAGTTCCAAGTAACCATGACAACCGATGACGTAGTGACCTTGAATGCTGCAATGAGCGGTGCGGTGCTGGCAGAGGCTGTTGTCGTTTTCTTTTTTGCACGGCGACAGTGCTCCGCCGCTGCTCTTCGGTGTGTTTTCGGCGGGAGCACGATAGTTACATTTCTTGCCTTGCACCCGCGTGTTGCTGCGGTTCGGCGCGTTTTCAATGGGCGCGGACAGTTACGTTTCTTGCCTTGCACTCGCGCGTTGCTGCGCTTCGGCATGCTTTCAGTGGGCATGCGACTGATGTCATGGATAACTGACGCCAAGATCATTCAGGCTACGTGCCTTTAACAAGCCACATTTGAAGACCCTTCAACCCTTAGTGGCGAAGATTCTGATGCCAGCGAAGAAATGCCCCACCTAGTGCAACTGACGTAGCGCCGACGCTGGACACAACCACGCACTACTTCTCATGCCAGGAGAATGCTGATGCCAAGTTAGAGCTAGTCTCCAAGCTTCAAGCGATGTTGTTCATTCAAGACTGGGGAACCGCGCACAGGCAAGCATCACGGATTACTTTCGTTGGTGATCGGTGTAAATAAGTGTCCCAAAACTCGTCACTCATGTGTTAGCTCAGTGCACATGCGCCACCCAACGCAGCGCTGCACGTAAATACTCCATTTAATGAGCTTTCTTTAATTCGAACTCCGTTTAATTCGAACAAATTTTCGGTCCCCCTCGAGTTCGAATTAACAAGATTCGACTGTAAAATGTTAAATGCACTAAGCAAGATTATGACTTCAGAAAATAAATTTTTACGTAAAAATGTGATAAAATCATTGGTTAAAACTAAATAGAATCTAGAATTCAACAAACCAACAAGTCAGTGAGATAGTCCAAAATAATTGACAGCAGCTATGGAAGTTAAGGTGCGATGCAGACATTTGAGTACACGCAGATATAGAAAAATCGTGGCTGTACCTGAAAAGTCCCATGATTCCTTCTTCCCTGTAAATTTCTCCAATGGAGCTGAAGATCCCTCTGCAAGCAGCAAAAAGAAACATCCCATTCTTGTACCCTGGTTCCGACGGGCAATCCAATTCCACTGGCTTGAATAAAACTTGTTAGAAAGGACATTGCTCACAAACTTGAAACTGACGTTTAAAGGTACTCGCTTAAATACGCGCCGTTTACAACCGGGTTAGTAAGACAAGCAACATCCAACTTAAAAGACTGCTTCGCTGGAACGTCTCCTCCCTTCGATGAATGACATCGGTTGTTGAGCACCTAATTTCAGACATTCCCGTAAAATCCCGTAAGGGCACCCTCCCCCGACAGATCGCCCATTCCGTTTTGCTGGCTAAATATCTGCAACATAAAGATTCCGAAACATCGGCCACTCCCCAATTCCCATTGGACAATGCATGATGCCCAACAGAAATAGCATGAACCGCACGATCTGCAGTACGGGTACGACTGACAAGCGGGTTCACAGCGAGTTCCCGCGTTTTCTGTTTACGATATGTGCGTGTGATATCGGTTCTCATGGAACGCAACTTTAGACGGTTTCCGCATGTTTGTCGCAGCGTGGAACATGAATTCGCTGCATCCACAATCTGCAGTATCCTTTCCCGTGACACAGGAGCTCTTAGCGAATTTCGGCGTGTTTATCGCATTGTCAAACGCGAATTTGCCGTGTCCGCGATCTGCAGTATCAGTTCCTGTGTCACGTGGTTTGCAGCGGTGCCCCTCGTGATTATTGTTAATTTTTGATAAAGTTTTGCAGCCTCACCCCCAAAGGTAGCCCACGTCATGTTTTCTACCAGTTATCTCTTCATTTGGGTAAGCTCCCTTACGGGATTTTACGGTAGTCGACCGTCATGCTTACAATATACCGCAAGTCAAACAATTCTTACAAAGGAACTTATTTGAGTCTGGTGTCACAAACACACTGCACCCAATTTAAAAAGTAACTACAGCTCTTCTATGCAGTAGGTGGATCCACTTGAGACGCCGTGCAAGTCCCATAGTTTCCAAAGACAAACTAGTTTTCCACTATGAAACACCATATGTAGTCTAAAGCTGGTACACACACTGTGACCAACTGCATTCACTCGTGACGCCTCACAATGATATAACACTGGCACCACCTATAGGGTAAACCTGGAACACTCCCAATCTGTGCATATTTCCTCATTATTTACACACCATTCTTTCATTCTGGACTTGAAACATGAATGTGAAAGTTGTCAGAAACCATCTCATATATGCAACATGTCCCCCCAAAAAATTTACAATATTTTTTTTTTACCACAGAAAACGAAAAGAAAGAACTATGGATTTTCGAATGTTCATTATTTAACCAAAATGTAGCCCTTGCAGCCTGAAACAGATGCCCAAAGTTTCAGAATTATCCCTTATCTTATTTAAAAGTTGTAAGTGATTTCCTGGAAATTTCAATAGGAGAATGGGGCCGTTTTCGTCCGTTTTCGGTAACTGGCACTATTCGACTCTGCGTATTCAAGAGCTCCTCAGCTGCCACTTTCCCATTAAAAATTTCAGAAAATTACTTGTCAACTTTAAAATAATATAACGGTTATTTCTGAAACTTTGGCATCTAATTCAGACTGCTAGGGCTGCGTTTGAGTGGAGAATGAACGTTCAACAATGCATAATTTAATTTTGCAAAAAAAAGCTTTTTGTAAAATTTATTTTTATGGGACATTTTGGAGTGTGTCGATGTCATCTTGCAACTACTGCAAAACCTTCAGCCTAGTTATATGCAGATTGAATTTGTTCCAGGACAGCCTGATGTGCCAGTGTGTGCTCTCCCCATAACGCAGTCAGTCAAACATAAATCTGTGAACCAGACTCCAGAAGAGCCAATAACAGCTCCGATACCACGTGCCAAACTTTCTGAATCAACGTGGGGCAATACTTACGCATACTTCTCTTCCCTCCCGACAAACTGAGCCATGCAGCGTACCGTGACCACTGTAAAAATGCCACAAACAATGGTCACATACGACGGGTGGATCGGAAGTAGCCAAGTGAAACTGCAAAGCAGAAACCCTGCCAGTACGAACCAACCTGACCTTGCCCAGCTTACAAGCCAAGCCAAAGCTCGACTAAACAGACCTAGACCCTAACGCGTGTCTCGGCCCATTCACACTCTGGGCCAAATTGACTGAATAACATTTACCAACGCAACGTACTAACATAGTCTGATCTGACTAGCTTGCTAGCCTGTCAAAATCTCTAATAAACAAAAATATATATATATAAAAAAAGAAGTTTATGAATTAGAAATAACTAAAATGGCTCATTTATAATTACTATTATAGAGAAAAAATCTCAACATTTGATCACTTTTTTAGAATAATACAAAAACTACAAGAATGGTTTTGTTGTACCCGAATTTAATGCCTGTGGAATAGGTAGACCTAAACTTTTTGCCATAGTCATTGATGGGTCCATAGTACAACTGTTAGTAGAAACAAATGCCAAAGTCACAATTTTTATTAAAAAAAAAATAAACAGAATAAATAAAACAAAGTTCACATTTCTGCTTAGTACCCAAAATTACAGTAGGTATGAGAACCCTGTCTATAGGGTCCGATCGAGAAAAGTAAACCCTACTTTTCGGCCCGCGTAAAAAAACTATGCGTCGCAGAACACTCAAAATTCTGCCAGAATGTAACCCTAGCGGTCCAAGCAACGTGCCAAAGTTTCAGCCCGATCCGATAACTTAATCAAAAGTTATAGGTGCTTTCCTGAAAATTTCAAATGGGAAAAGGGCTGCCGACGGAGTTTTTGAACACATGGGGCACCAGAAACTGAAAACAGGCAAAAATGGGCTCCATTTTCCCATTGAAATTATCAGAAAATCACTTATAACTTTTGATTAAGTTATCGGATCGAGCTGAAACTTTGGCATCTTGCTTAGACCGCTAGGGTTAGATTCTGGCAGAGTTTGAGCGTTGTGCGATGCCTAGTTTTTTTACGCGGGCTGAAAAGTAGGGTTTACTTTTCTCGATCGGACCCTGTAGATCGAAAGAGGAATGACACAAATGTATTCCAGTATCTCCATCCAGAGAAAACTGATACCTTACATAAAAACCCACACACACCTTACACAAAACCCACCCATTGTTTTAACTGCATTTCAATACGGACAAAACAAGGAATGAGGCAAAAATAATGACGGACGCACCGTTAAAAGGCTGGGCGCAGACAAGGGCAGCACACTTTGCCGTCATCAGCTTCAAGGTACGCTTGACGAAGTTGATAATCCGCTCCTCCTCAGTAATGTCGTCGTCGTCTTCCTCGTCCTCGAATTCACGCACCTCCGGAAGTTTCTGCGAGATTGCAACAAAAACGGTTCATCAGTGTGGGTGTGAAAAGCATGATGAAGTTATGCTTAATACACCCACAGATGGACGTCTAGACATACATCCACACTGATGAACACCTAGACATACGCCTACACTGAGGAACACATACAGTAAGTCAGTTTTGGTCGCTTGTCGATCGTGTTTCTACAAACGTAAAAACATGCACGAATATTTTCTTAGAAGTCCTTAAAAGGGACACTGACACCCCCCCAAAATTATGTGATTTTTTGCCAGGCGATTTAATATGGTGTTAAGACTACCCAATCAATATTTTGCTACAGAGTCACACATATTTTTAATGAAGTAAAAAAATGCAACTGCTCAAACCCAGAACCGAAACTGGACTTGGGAGAAATGAGATATGTAGAGGAGAGAGTTGCCAGAAGTCCTGTGGCTACACCCAACAGCATTTTTTTTTCTTTTGTTTCTTTGGTTATGCGAAGCAGACAAAAAAGGCGCACATCGCACGAAAAATGCAAACATCAGGCATTTTGTACTCGACGTTTGTATGTTTTTCAAGCTCTTACTAATTCGTGTTCATAAGATGAGCATGTCTTCAGCCAGGAGAAGGGGCAATGACTCCGTGACGTCTCCATGCAAATCAGCTTGCTAGCTGGGCGTGTCGTATGTAATAAATCCTTGTTTTTATCAGTAATCAATTTCTCTTTCAAAGCTAGACAGATCTGCCGGCACCGCAAACAACAGTTCTGAAGTAGAAGTAGAGCCCATCGACCGCTGCCATCGCTTATTTAGCTTCGTCCAGCTATCCAGCCCGCGACTCCCATGATACAATGCCATGTTGAGAATGGCACAGAGAATGCCCAGCGTGCGTCCAGTACCCTGTGCAATTTTTTTTTTTTTTTTTTCAATCAACATATTAGCGGCTTTTGAGAAGTTACTCATATTTGTTTCTATTTTTAATATTGAGTGTGTGCTTCAATGACCACGACTATGATTATATTTAGTGTGCGTGTCTGAACTGCACGTGACCACGGAGAAGAGAGTGAGTGTAACTTGAACCGACCAGTTCTCAATCGGCGGTTTGCAGGCGGAAAGAAAAAGAATTGCAAGCCGCAAATTGTGTTGGGCTCTGATGTGTCATGCATGAATAAAAACCTCGGTGGGCAGAAATATCCTGTCAGTGTCCCTTTAAAAGCAGCTCCGACAGGAATGGCACTCACCCTGTTAACTTCGGAGAAAACGGCACCACTCACAACATTGCCAACCAGCCGAACGCTCAGCCCCCTGTACAGTCCAGCGTAGCCGTCCACCTTTTTGATGTACTTCACTGCAAGGCAATACGGTCTTTACTTTTCCTAAGGGATGCAGTATTCTTCTTCGTACCACAAGTATGTCTTATAGCAGTCAGGTACACTTCAACCAGCATGCTTTTGGTGTCATTCGAAGATTGGCATCCCACAGCCACCTCCAATTGCTGCTCATGTGTACTTCATGAAATGCAGAAAAACCGAAGTGCAGTGAAGGATGCACTTACTGTATTCAAAGGCCCCTGGAAGAGCGAGTGCAGGCTTTCCAAGCAACCTTCGCGTCGGCTTTGGTGGAAGGGGCTCATGTCCAATCTGCAGAGGACCACCGCAACGAACAAAACATCTCTAAATGACACAATGTTACGTTCAAGCTTTGTTACGGTGTCTACCAAAAAAAAAAGCCAACCGTTTCTTTTTTTTGGCATTTTATCTAAATTTTTGACCAAGAAAGTTGTGTCAGAGTCCAAATGACAGGCACACAACTTGCAAGGAACGTTTACATCCCCGACAAAAGCCACCAAGCATTTATATTTTATACAGTAACGTTTATAGGGTGAAGCTACTGCATCGAGTGATTATAATTTGCCAAGGCCGAACTGGATTTTCGGCCAATTTGGCATGAATCTCCACATGCATAAATTAAAAAAGCAAAATTTATAAAAAAGAAATTACGCCTCTCAATGCTGTGAATTAGACACTGCAGATGTTGAATACTATTTAACACTCAACCATTTCAAGAATACCCATAGGTATACGAGGGGGGTACTTATTGTTTTTATTTTCGCTTACTCGGTGCCCAAGGCAAAAAATTTAAAAGGTTTGTAAGTCAAACCAACTAAGGGTTTCCGACACGTCCCAGAGTAGGACTGAGGATAATTGCTGACCGCCTGAAGGTCTTTTAATGTGCTACCAAAATCCCCAGTTACATGACGCCTTCTCTGTAATCAGCCTGTCAGATTATGGGCTTCTCGGCCGGGATTCAAACCTGCCATCTGGGAATGCGTAGGTTAACGCCTCGCCTAGGAACCGCAGAGAAAGCTTACGTGGAGTTCATCATCAGTATTTAGCATCAAAGGATAATATATCACTCAATCATTGTCAAATGCTTTAAAATGTCAGTGGCAAAAAAAGACAAGAACAAATCAAAACTAATGCAAACAGTCACATTAAAATTACCTTGATAAGAAGTCCACGAGAAAGAAAAAAAAGCCTCACATTAAAAGTATGAGGTGTGATCAAAAAGTTCCAAGACTGATTTTGTAGCATAAAAAGAGAGAGCGGCACAGTAATGCCAGCGTATAAACGATCTGCACTACACGAATTTGTTTGACCACACGCATGAGCATAATGGCGATCTCTCCATAGACTGCAAGTCAAAGCGAGAGCGAATATCAATTTTATGTCAAACTCTACGAATATAAAACAGAGACCTCGCAAATGATTTAGAAAACTTCTGTCAAAAAGTAGCGGGGTATGCAAAGTGTTTTGAGCGGCACTCGTGCCTCAAGAATGGCAGCACGTCGCTGAAGTCAAGGAGAGGTCGGACAAGGTCGCCCTACCGTTCTTCATCTTCCGGCAAAGTTCTGCTGTTCCTGAAGCTCGAGTGCCACTTAAAACATGTAGCAAAATTCACTGCTTTTTGACACAAGCCTGCTGAACCATTGCACAGGTCTCTGTTTTATATCTTACGAGTTTGATGCGGAAATGACGTTTGCTCTTGTTCTCGTCTGCAGTCTATGGTGAAATCGCCATTGTGCCCGTGCACATGGTCACAGAAATTCGTGTAGCGCAGCTGTTCACAGAGCAATGCCCTTTGGTATAATGAGACACAAAGGTCCCTTCCATCGACTGCTGCGCGCGCATCACTGGTGCCCTCTCTTTTTACGCTACGAAATTAGTCTCGGAACTTTTTGATTGCACCTCATATATAGTACCAAAAAGCAGCAAAACAACAAAGTATGTCAGGCAGAGGAGAAAAAAAGCATTATACACTTCTTGCACGTGCAAGATTATTGAGGCATTGCTAGACAAAACAAGGTAAAAAGCAGTCACGTCGTAAAATTTGAGCAGGCAGATATAAGCATATACATATGAAGTCAATTGTGTTTGGTATACCACAGCACAGAATGCGCCTCCACATAAACAGTGGGTGAAGTGGTAGTGAAGAAATTCTTCTTAGCAGTTGGGTAATAAACTGTCTCTTGTTATCTACGATGTGCCAAAAAAAAAGGTGTTTTTATTTATTGCAAAAATAAACTCAACCCTTAACGCTCATTCTCTGTTCAAGTGTAGCACTTGCAATCCGAACCAGGTGCCAGTTTCAGCACGAACCGCGTTACCTTACTTGTAATGCTAACACCTCACATTTTAATCATATTAATACTACCCTGATAAAATAAAGCAAACGCAAAAGACAGACTATGCATCACGTTTTCAGTCTAAATAAAATTTCAAAAATTGTAATTTATGGCCTGATTTCAAGCCATTCATTTTATAATGGATTGATTTTATGCAAGTTTTCACGGGAAGCGAGACGGAGCTCAGAAATTCGTTTTATTTATTTCCTTTTCTTTTTGTACAAGCTTCAGTGTGTAAGCAGTGCTTTGTTGCTCGACGTAGTAGTACACACAAACATTAGTCAAAACAATGTAGCGGTTTTCTTACATCTACATTTGGACTCCGACGCTTGCTTCTGCCGCCGCAGTAGAAACACCAAATTAAGTTTATGTCCACCTTTTTTTTTTTTTTTTTTTTTTTTTATAGTTATTACGGCGACCACAGTAACACACTTTTCATTCATTGTATTTTTTACCCTTCAACGAGTAACACTTGAGCCACTAGCCGGAGTCGTTCAAAGTTCACTCCGGGCTGATTCTCCTGGTGATTTATTTCGTCGCCGCGTTTTCCTAAAGTGTGTAGCCGCTAAGCAATTTGTTAGCGTTAAAAAGAGGAGCGAAGTTCAAAGGAACCATTCTCAAGAGGTCGTTATCAATTGCGCTTAGCCGGGTACCTCAATCCGGCTATCACGTGCTAGTAGCGCACTTACCTGAACGAGAACCTTGACATACTCGAAAGGATATGCTAGCGCTGTGATTGTGGCTCTTCCCACGATCGCGTACCACAGGTTTTTCACGGGTGTGGGTTCGTTTTCTGACAAGTTGAACGATTCAGACGGGTACACCGCCATCTTGTCTACTCGATAGCCGCTCTGGCAAGTCTAGGCCTGGCTTCTTCCTTCAAAGATCGTGACAAGTTTTCGATTTCGGGATTAATTAATTTACTTCTTGAACCACATCTCAAGATATAACTGAGTACCTGCGAGTTTATTTTATAAATAATTGCAAACGAAGTTGTACTAAAAACGTTGCTGCAGCTCGAACATTTTTTTTTTCTAATTTTAGAAATAAATTGAATCTTATTTAGCGCTTTCAGCGCCTGCCTCCGTGGCGCAATTGGTTAGCGCGTTCGGCTGTTAACCGAAAGGTTGGTGGTTCGAGCCCACCCGGGGGCGAAATTTTTTTTTTTTACTTTCTGTTTTTACTATATTATACTTTTAAAACGCCTTACTTGCATTACTTGTCCCATTGAGCGAAAAGTCGGAGTAAATGGCAATAAAAATACAATTGCGCGTCACGCGCCGTTCGACGGGCCCGTCCTGGCAGTCGTGCTGGAAGTCGACCTAGGCCTCTAGGACGACCTCACTTGTCGCAGTCATCATGGCCGTGTTCCAAAATTTACTCGATCTTACTCCAGGGTAAAGGTTTTCTACCTTGGCGTCCGAAAACCTACCCGCGTCCAGCGCTTTTCTATCTGTGTTGTCACGTGACACGACCCGACGGAGTAACTCGGATCCATTTGAGTAAGATTTGGAACACAGCCCAAGTGTCATCGGTGAGATGTCATCGTCGGAGCGCCGTGTGCAAAAGGTGCGCTTCGGACTTCATCTCTCCTCGTTGTGTGCTAAGTACGATGGACTGTGAGGCGACCGCGTCTACATCTACGGTCGTTCTTGACGTCGTCCTAAAGGTGGTTCTAGACACCGTTCCTGACGTCGTCCTAGAGGTCGTCCTAGACGTCGCCCTCTAGGCGTCGTTCTCGACGTTGTCCTTAATCGTCCTAGAGGCCGTCACAGAAGTCGTCCCTGACTGGCTTTTAAGTGTACTCGTGTATTTTAGAGCGCAGCTCTTAGGGGCCCGTTCCCGGCTTGAGCGGCGTCGCCGTCGGCGTCGGCGTCGCCGTTGGCGTCGGCGTCGCCGTCGCCGTCGGCGTAACCAAGGTCATCCCAAGGTCACGTGACCCCCAAGGTCACATGACCCCTCCCAAGGTCACCTCAAGGTCACGTGACCCCCTGAAGGTCACGTGACCCCTCGAGGTCACGTGACCCCTCCCAAGGTCATCTCAAGGTCACGTGACCCCAAGATGACCCCACGTGACCCTTTGAAGGTCACGTGACCCCCAAGTCACGTGACCCCTCTGAGGTCACGTGGTCGCCTCCCCAAGGTCACGTGACCCCGAGGTCACGTGACCCCCAAGGTCACGTGACCCCTTCCAAGGTCATCTCAAGGTCACGTGACCCCACGTGACCCCCAGGTCACGTGACCCCTCTGAGGTCACGTGACCCCTCCAGGTCACGTGACCCCAAGGTCACGTGGGGGTCACCTTTGGGGTCACGTGGCCTTGAGGTCACCCCCAGGTCACGCCTCCCCGAGGTCACGTGACCTCCTCCCCGAAGTCACGTGACACCCCCCCCCCCGGAGCATATTAAAGAATGAAGGGAGGAGGAGGAGAAGGGGGAGGGGTCTACCCTCCCCTCAGTACCCTTCACTCCTCCTCCTCAAGAGCTGCGCTCCAATTCGGCGTTACAGGGATTTGTAAACGGATCTCACTTTTTTTTTTTGTGATAAAAGGAATGGAACGAATGCATCAAAGGACTAATATTGTTTCACTGCCCATTTTGCAAAAATTAAGTGACGATAATTGGTGCACATAAATGTGCAGTGAAACGTGTGATTTTAATACACCCCATTGTTTTTGATGTCACTGAAATGGGCGAGTGAGTTGTAATGTAAGGCCAGCCGGATAATAGGTACAGCCCACTCGGCGGAGCAGACGACATACGGGGTGAGAGGAGAAGGCATTTTTTTCTCTCTATTATCCTCTCTGCTATGACCCTAATGGAACGGTCGCGTCATAGCAGAGAGGGTAAAAAGAGAAAAAAATGCCCTCCTCCTCTCACCCCATGTCGTCTGCTCCGCCGAGTGGGCAGTACCTAGCATCCGGCTGGCGTACAAACTCTGTTTAAAATCGCGTCATTTTGGAAATTTCAAGCGCAGACGCGCAGATTTTGGTATAGATGAAAACACTAAAAGAGTCCAATTGAGCTGTTATCTGCGTGCAAATAAAAAAAAAAATAAGAAAAACTGTGTCAGACTGGCCGGTCTCTCCGGCGAGAAGTGAATCCGGTGGTTGTACCTTTTTTACTATACAGAGCTCGTACTGGTGTAGCCCTTTAGCGACCGTCAGTGGATGTCTGAAATAATGAATAAAAACGTGCTCTCCTGCGAAACGAATTTGTAGTTGGCGCCCGCGGGCACCGCGGAAAAGTGGTCCGTATTTATCACGTGACTGGTCCTTATTTATCACGTGGTGCTTGCGTTTTTTCGGAAGCTTCCTATGGCCTCTAAAAGTAACTTATTCATCTTTGTTTGAAGTATAACAAAAAACTAAGATGAATAAGTAACTTTTAGAGCCCAAAGGAAACTCCTGAAAAAGCGCGAGCAGACGCGATAGACCTGTGCGCCGGTCAGACGACGGCGGCGGCGCCCCGAAGCAGACGAACTTGTGCGGCGGCGGCGTCGGCGGCGTGGAGAAACGCGAGAAACGCGCACAACGCTCAGCGTGCGGCGGCGACGCAGCGCGGCGGCGCGCGGGCCTACCACGTGACCAGCGGCGGCTCCCGCGAGCGCCAACTACAAATTCGTATAGCGCCGTAAATATAGCTCTAAAATTTTTTTTTCTTCGTTGTAAAATCGTTTTATGACATCCTTTTTCCATCTAAGCTGTCTAAAAAATTGTTTTTTTCCTTTGTATGTGTCCTTTAAGAAGTTTTAAGAAATCTCGTCTCTCTCAGTCGTACTCGGTCGGAAGAGTGTGAACGGGAATACGAAAAACACCATATCTATCTATATATATATATATATATATATATATATATATATATATATATATATACTCAACAAAATATTAGCCCTCAAAGGTGTTAGCCGAGGAGGTTGCCAAAAAAGTGAGATTGATGAAACGTTTCGAGCCTGGTAGGCTCTTCGTCAGTCAAGTGAGAAGACTTCGTTCTCCTTTTCTTTCAATCAAAGAAAAAACGGCCGGAAAAAAGAAGTTAATTGGAAAAATGCTTACCGTTTAGCGGGTACCTACTCAACTAAATTCTCGCTTAAAAGTTTAATATATCCCGATACCAATGCAATAAATACTATGAAAATAATTAAATATAATATTATTACTGCCATTCTTATCATAAAACCAGTTTTTGGGCCCAATGTTACGCGTTTACTCGTGTCACATTAAACGATGAAGCGAGAAGAAGAAAAAAAAAAAAAGCAACAGTGCGGTACCGATTAGAAGATCTCAATTAAATGTCCATAAAAAAAGACGGCAATGATCCTTTCGAACTGTTAAGGTTAAGGGTTCTAAAGTATTAAATCTATAGATAAATTCAGATTCTTTATTTTTTCGATCTCTGGTGGTTCGAAAGCCCCCCTGGAGTATAATAAAATTAAAATCAGAAAGTCCGTTATGTCCTGCGGAGTTTAAGTGACGGGAAACCGGTCCGGCAACGTGTTTACGTATATGACTTTTATGTAGATTCATGCGTTTTCTTATGCTTGTTTTAGTTTCTCCTATGTATTGAATTTGGCATTTTCTACATTGAATTAAATAAATAACATTTTCCGAATTACAGTCAAAGGTACCATTTATTTTCCAATTAAAGTTATTCGCTGTGCTACGAATAGAGTTACAGGTAGCTATAATTATGTCCCCACATAAACTGCATTGGTTATGATTGCACTTGGTGCAACCAATCGGGACCAGGCTACGTCCGATGGAGTTTCGGGACTGTTTAAATAAATCTAATAAATTACGTGGTCTCTTGAACGCTATACCAGGGGGTCGAGGGATAACTGCCTTTAAAGCTGTGTCCATGTGTAAAATATTCAAGTGTCGTCTAAGAATATTGTTTATGTTTGGAAGTTTTGATTGGTAAGGTAAGATTAGTCGTAGTTCATGATTATTTCTTTTCGGCCGCTCTACTAAACACGCGTTATAAACACGCGTTATAAACACGTCTATAAACACATAAGCTAATAAATCTCATCTGCGCCCTCAGATGTTGGTATAAATGAAAAGGAGTTCCTGAATTAAAGGGAAAGGGGATGCAGAGATTAGCATTTATTCGACCTAATCTTCATTTTCTGTTATGGACCGCCTATTCCAAAACGCTCAACTGCCACTAAAAGTTATCCCCAAGATATTGCATCTTGCAGGTTTGCGGTGAATTGTTTCGTAATCGGCGGTTTATTTTTAACGTTCCTGTGTATTTGTCACCGATAATTTGCCAATATTAAATCTGCTCCTTTGAATATTATATATATATATATATATATATATATATATATATATATATATATATATATATATATATATATATATATATATATATAATAATTATAATATTAATAATATATATATATATTATTATTATTATTATATTATTATTATATATATATAACCGACAACTTTTTTTTTTTTGCATTTGCAAGTTTTGGTGCTTTCTCCTTTCTGTGTAAACTATCTGTTTTGTCAACGCTGTTTCTATTTCCTACTGCACTTTACTCCCTCTAATTTCTTCTTAGGGGTATATAAACATTCGCGGGCTGCACACTCGCTACCTGATGAAGAGCGGTCCCCGCTCGAAACGTCGTAATAAACTTCGAATTAGTAACTCCGACAGTACGCATCTTTGACTTATTAACTTTTCCCGGTCCATTGTTTTTATATTTACCTTACTTTACCTATATATATATATATATATATATATATATATATATATATATATATATATATATATATATAATATTCAAAGGAGCAGATTTAATATTGGCAAATTATCGGTGACAAATACACAGGAACGTTAAAAATAAACCGCCGATTACGAAACAATTCACCGCAAACCTGCAAAATGCAATATCTTGGGGATAACTTTTAGTGGCAGTTGAGCGTTTTGGAAAAGGCGGTCCATAACAGAAAATGAAGATTAGGTCGAATAAATGCTAATCTCTGCATCCCCTTCCTCCTTTCCTTTTAATTCAGGAACTCCTTTTCATTTATACCAACATCTGAGGGCGCAGATGAGATTTATTAGCTTATGTGTTGAAGGGTTGCATTGAAGACGCCGCCCCATCCTTTTTATTTCGCACGTCAACCGCGGACAAAACTAGCACTCTCAAAAATAAAAAAATAAACATTTTAAAAATATATAAGGATTTTTACAGATGTCAGTATAAGGATATTTATTAGACTCCACACATTATCCGTAAACTACACGAGCGACAAAAGCGGTGCGACGTTCCCCTTGGCCGTGGTACTAACTCCTCGCCGTGTTCCTGTTCCGCTCGTACCAATCTGCGGTCTCTCGAACGGCTGTGAAAGATTGTCGTAAGCAAGGTTAGTGCACCATAACAAGGTCGAGGTCATGTTAATGCCCCTGAATAAGAAAGGTAGTGACATTACTTAACCCGTCCCCCGACGCGCACGCCTTTGTCTTTATGTTTTGCTTTTTTTTTTTTTTTTTGCACCCGCGCTTCGACTGTAGCGCCGCCTGGATCGGCCCAAGATAGCAGGCGGCATGCTCCAAAGGATGTCGCTACTTTTCCGTATAAAGGGGCTTTAGGGCTAAGTGGTCGTACTGTGACAATACGCGAGACACCACTCTCGTTCTATATTATAGACTCATCAAACACAGTCGGGGTCGAAGGCTGTCGCGACGATGACGGCACGCTTTTGTCGCTGAAGGCCAATCGGCGTGCTCCTTGAACTTATTTTTTTTTCGGCTTGAACATTTTGTTTGACGAGTCTAGAGATCCCTTAATCCGGTGGCAAAGAGGAACCAGTTTATCTGGTAAGCAGATAAAGCGCCACACCAGGTGCGACTTAAAAATAATATCCGTCATATTCATCGATTAGTTTAATTATTTGATAGATTGTCACGTGCCAATGCACAGTTTTGATATTTTTGAAAAATTTACGGAGATACAAACTTCCTGTTTAAAATTTGACAACGCAAAAATTAACAAGTCTGACAACATCTTAATAAATAAAAAAAGTGTTCCTAATATACATCCTGCAAACCTAGACCGAGTCACAACAGAAGTGGTGCACATGTACTACGACACAAAACGACCTGGTAGTCTGATTGGGATTACAGCGTCCGCCGTATCTCGTCCTAACTGTCCGGAGTTTTCACTGTTTCGGCCAACGAGCAGGGCCGGCCACGCCATCAAGCGCCTTGAAAAACCTCCAACCGTGGCACACCCCCTCCCCCTTCCCCTTTCTTATACGTCCCTATCTACTGGGTGATTCCACGTCAGTTCATGCAATGATGGTCCGGGTCATAATTTAGATATTTTTGTTAAAAATATATATGAAAGCCATGTTCTTGGGAGGAACATTCAGCTAGATATGAACGCCGTAACAATTTTTTTCGCTGAGATATAAAATAGAGAAGCTTGAGGCGTGGAAATTGAGAAGATTTCACAATGGTACTTTGCACAGTCGTCATTTCCTTATAGAACCTTTCACGGCGCCATAACTTTTTTAATAGGTTTTACAAAGGTTATACAACACATACATAAAATATTAAAAATATACATAAAATATTTCAATGCAAACAAAAATATCAAACATGGCACAAAAACGCGTTTTAGAGACATATTCACAATTCTTTTGCAAATAAACCATCTTTCATAATACTTCACAAAACATATCAAAATGCGCGTATTTAGATATTCTTTACGAATATATAAAGATAATATGCCCACCCTTAAACATATTTTTGTTATCAACGCGGAAATTCGGCTGATTTCTCAAAATGTGGCAAGATTGGGCGTCGATATTTAAAAAAACTCCATCTTTTATTTTCTTTAAACTCCCCTTGGCACTTTGCAGTGACTTGAACTAACCTGTGATGGCAAAATATTGAGTAACATATGACCTCCAAGCGGGAAAAGCTACGACAAACCTTCACTCGGAGCGAGCCGACGTCTTCGTCATAGCGGCTTTGCCGCACAGCACCAAACGTTTGGGCGTTAGTTATGGCCTTATGGAATGTATTTTATATTATTAAAATTATTTTTTTATACGCGGTGAGTATTAGCGACGTGAAAAAGAACTTTGAACTGGAATACCATTAATTAGCTTACAATTCACAGGAATAAAACGGCCCCACTCTGCAAATTCGCTACCTATGCATCATACATAAGCTTAAAACTCTCAGTTGCGCGAATGGCCATGTATACATCTGGCCGCTCGGCATATGATGACTTTCACAGATGAGTTTCCTGGATTCCTTTGACAGGTTTTACGGTGGTCCACTTTGCTTGCTTCGCCGCACGAAACTCTCGAACTCGAAGACAGTTGTGAGCACTGCGCAGAGTGGTTTGACGCGTTTTGCGAAGTGCTGAAGGCATGTAGTTCCCACCAGGAACGCAAGCGATTGTACGTGCTTCTGCCACCAATCATCCTGAAGAAAACAATATTGCGTCTAGTGTCGGGTGCGACTGCCTACATGATTGATCAAACATGAAAACTGAAGCGCAAAGGTGGTGTTTGAACAACCCCTGATCCCTACATGGGGAAAAAGGCGAATGCCGAAGACGTGGGGGTTGCAATTGAGTACTACACACGCGACGACCTCGCATGCTCTGTTCAAAGCCCCGACAAAAAGGACGTCGTCAAAGCCATGATCAACGACATGTTCAAAGTCGTAAAAATGTTTATGACCCGCTCTATTAAGAAAGCTCACCAGCTGTTTAGGAAGGACCATCCCCAACCCGAACTAGGCATCTCCAAATTTTATTCTCTACGACCAAAAAGGGTAAAAAAAAAAGTCCCGAGCACGAGGTGTGCGCATGCATATAGTGCGTCAATTTTCAGTTGCTTTTAACGGCAATAACAAATGCCCCAAAGAAGACAATTACTGAAGACGACCTCAAGCGCATCTACCTCTTCTGCGCTCCACAAAACGATTGCTTTCTGCGCCGTTGCGAAAAGTGCCCAAAAACGCAGAGCATCTCGCTGCAGTCGCTTCATCTCGACGAAGACGAAGAGATCTGTTTCGCGTTATGGGACGCTGGCGAACTCGTCAAAAAGGTTATGGACACTTCTGCCTTCCTGCGGCAATAGGAGAGCGAAAAGTATATGAGGCATTCTTACATCCTTGACCTTGAACGAAGCCTGATACATGACACAAGAACCGCCTTACCACCCAAGGCAGTGATGTTCCACTTCGATTTTGCGGAAAAATGGACAGTACTCTTTCCAACCGAAGTGCAGAGTTTTCATTGAAAAAAAAACTCAAGTGTCTCTCTCCACAAGTGTGGTTACGTCCACGCAAGGCACGCAAAGCTTTGCCGTTGTCACCGATGGTACACGACACATGACACAGCTCACGTTCTTCTAGCCACAAAGGCCATAGAAGAGTATGTTAATGTTTATTTCCCAGTCTTTTTTGAAATAATTTTTGTATCAGACGGAGCGGCGGCGCATTTCAAGAATCGCTTCCAATTCCACGAATTGTCTCGGAAGCCGCACTCTTCGGCAAGATAGATCTTTTCAGCCACTGGACACGGAGAAAGCGCTTGTGATGAAGTAGGTGGAAGAACCAACGCTCACCAAGTTGAGATCTTCGCTCAACTCAACGATTGCCACCGCTAAAGACTTTGTGGAAGTGCTACGTAAGAAAGTAACAAATGTCTGCATGTTCCACCTGTCTGTGGAACGGGTTCGAGAGTTTCGTGCGGTAAAGCAAGCAGAGTGGACCACCATAAAACCTGTGAGAGGAATCCAGGCTTCTCATCTGTGGAAGTCATCATATGCCGAAAGGCCGGATTTATACATGGCCACTCGCATAACTGAGAGTTTTAAGCTTATCTATACATAGTTAGCGAATTCGCACAGTGGGGCCGTTTTGTTCCTGTGAATTGTAAGCTAATTAATGGTATTCCAGCTCAAAGTTCATTTTCGCGTCACTAATACTCAGCCCTTATGAAAAAAAGAATTTTAATAATATAAAATACCTAACCTAACGCTCAAAACGTTTGGTGCTGTGCGGCAAAGCCGCTATGACGAAGACGTCGGCTCGCTCCGAGTGAAGGTTTGTCGTAGCTTTTCCCGCTTGGAGATCATATGTTACTCAATCTTTTGCCATCACAGGTTAGTTCAAGTCACTGCAAAGTGCCAAGGGGAGTTTAAAGAAAATAAAAGATGGAGTTTTTTAAATATCGACGCCCAATCTTGCCACATTTTGAGAAATCAGCCGAATTTCCGCGTTGATAACAAAAATATGTTTAAGGGTGGGCATATTATCTTTATATATTGGTAAAGAATATTTAAATACGCGCATTTTGATATGTTTTGTGAAGTATTATGAAAGATGGTTTATTTGCAAAAAAATTGTGAATATGTCTCTAAAACGCGTTTTTGTGCCATGTTTGATATTTTTGTTTGCATTGAAATATTTTATGGGTATTTTTAATTTTTTTATGTATGTGTTGTATAGCCTTTGTAAAGCCTATTAAAAAAGTTATGGTGCCGTGAAAGGTTCGATAAGGAAATGACGACTGTGCAAAGTACCATTGCCAAATCTTCTCGATTTCCACGCCTCAAGCTTCTCTATTTTATATCTCAGCGAAAAAAATTGTTACGGCGTTCATATCTAGCTGAATGTTCCTCCCAAAAACATGGCTTTCATATATATTTTTAACAAAAATATCTAAAATATGACCCGGACCATCATTGCATGAATTGACGTGAAATCACCCTACTATGTAGGACATCACGTTGTTAGTAATCATGTGAGTAGTGGGGGCCCAACACGAGCGCTTTGTCAGATAAGAACCGCATTCCAAAAAGCGAACGGCGATCGAGCAAATGGCGTGGTGTCGGGCACCGTGTTCAAGAAAAATCAAAAGGCTAAAACAAATTGAAAAGGGGGTGCGGCGGCGCCTCCCCCCCCCCCCCCCCCCCTCCCCTCCCCCTCTTTGATGGCACCCTGGGTTACCGCACAGGTCGCCCATTCCTAGGATCGGCCCTGTCAATCAGTATGAACAATTTCTTCCGCATACGAGAATGTTTCCTCTAAAAAAAGTACAACGAAAAGAAAATCTTGCGTTGGTGATGATACGTAGCGATCTCTATACAGTGTCCAGATAATGACAGATAGAATTACCTTCCTCAAAAGGGGTGAACTGAAATGTTGGAAGAAGCCGTCGCATCTTGTCGTTGCTCAGAGTTTTCTTCAACTGGCCGTCGGTTTTCGTGGCATCAAACTTGTCAGGTGGGGTTAAAGAAAAAACAACCGGATTCAGACCCCCAGACATTGACGCTTTCTATATACATGATCAACCAGTACTGCTAAGAGAGTAAGACACCATTGAGGCATAAAGGATACAACGACGTTCCCTTGATAGCCGATGATTCTTGTGATGACTTGGACCAGTTCGAGGATGCTGATCTCATCGGATTCGTCCACTGGAAATTTCAAAAGACAGTTGCAAGACTGAAATAAAAAGTCGAAAGCTGGGGTCGTACCGCTCTCACATACCATACAAAAGGCACAGTGTTCGCTGCAGGCACGATGAGCGAATCATCTGTGGACACGACTTAAGCACGTGTTCGTGGCATGTTTGCTTCGAACGTGCCTAAACATGACTGCAGACTAGTTGTTTTTTTTTTTTTTTGTTTTTTTTGTATGACCATTGTAATGTGACCATTGTACAAGGAAGAAATACGCTTCAGACTGTCTCCAGACTGTCTTTTGTATGATGCATTAGCACTGGTGATTGTTGCTTAAAAGAGCTTGAGACGTGAAACGTGTCAAAGATGTCGTGCCACAAAATCACGTGTGAGACTACATCAGCAGCCCTCGTCACGTGACGTGTCACCTGATGCGACAATTAGGGATCAGGTGTGGGCCAAGTTACCGTCGTTTCCCTCTTTTCTTGTTTTTTTTTCTTACCTGACAGGATGATCGGGTCCGGTTCTTCGTACTCCCTGAGGACCCAGACGATGAGGCGTGCCACGTCGGCGGAGTAGATGAACTGTCGCAGCGCTCGGCCAGTGCCCCAGATCTCCAGAGGCTTTCCAGACGCTGGATGCATTATGCGTGTGACACAAACAGGAGGGCCATTCCTACTACAAATTTCCCCCGCGTCATTGGAGACGCGACCGGTGCAATTTTCCTGAATCCGGAGCAATCGTGTTTGAGGACACGTACTGACAAAGGTCTACAGAAAGCGCCATCTTCATTGGCATTGGCAACGGGGAATGATTATATCTGCCTAAAGTCGTACGCATTCAAGGAGGGAAATAAAAACACGCCGTGGGAAAACATTTTTAACGCAATTTACGGATCTCGTTTTCTTTTTTAAGAGCAGTAAAAGGTTGTAAAGCGCTAGTGTCAATCAATAAAGCTTTCATGTAGTTTTTTTTTTTTTTACCATTTACTTTAGTTCAAACGAGTTAAAGAGACGGTGCCAGCAAGGGGAAAATAAATGCGACAGAGCTACACTAGTAAATTCCAAGGTGTAACGCGAAGCATGTCTGTATAGAGGTCAACGCAGGATCAAAATATAAAGAACACGCGCCACGATTTTGGTGAAAGGAAAATACAATTCTGATTGCCACGAAAAAAAAAAAACAACGTTTCTTTCTTGCATAAAAAAAATAAATATAAATGCTGAAACTTGACCACAATTGCCCCCTGATACCAGAGACGTCCTCAGAGCTGAAGATGCCGTTCCCAACATTCAATGGCCCGAGCCGCACCTTTGGCGTCGTACGTCTTCGCAATCAGCGAGGGGATCACGTGACCGCCTTCGGGACTGAAGTTTCCGTGAGGTCCGAAAACATTGGCTGGGATCACCGAGACAAACTGGCAGTTGTGCTTGCTATGGTACATTCTGCTCTTGATGTCCAGAAGTCTCCTGGCGTAGGCGAAGCCAGTGTGGCACACGGAAGGAGGGCCATTGTGAATCTATAAAAGAAAAGAAAACCAAAACATGGCGGTGGAAGCCCCTGTGAAGTGAGTCCTCGTCGATAAGTTTGTCAATAAATATTCCTCAGGTTAACGCTTGTCTTTTAATTTTCTCGTTTCGTAAACGAAGGGAAAAAATGGTTTTGCACAACACGGAACTTGTGGCAGGTTGAGAGTTCAGGGGAAGCTCCTCCCACCGCTTTCCACTACATCAGAGCGGACGCTGGAGGCGAGGCGACCTCCTTTTCTCACGGATTCGGTGTGCTTCGCTATAGATTTTTAGTGTCGGCCAATAAATCAGGGTTTTTCGTGCCTTACATTAAAGACTCAGCGCGCACCAGACACCTAGCTGTGTTTGGAGATTCGTGTTTGTCCTTTGTCCCCCTCGTTCCCCCTCTCCCGGGATTATAATCGTTTGCTTGCTATGTGGGCTTTTGTTTTTAGTCTTATAATATTCAAATACCCTGCTTTCGCATTCATACTTTCCCAGTCCATGGGCACTATACCCAGGGGCGGATGCAGGAATTTCCTGAGGGGGTCATGGGTTGGTCAGCGTACCATATGTTTAGGAACCCCCTCCCCCTCTCCCTTGTTTTATGCCCTAAATTTTACGCATGTAAAAATCAAGAGGGGGGTCAGGACATCCGGACCCCCCCTCTAAATCCGCCCCTGACTATACTGACTATGCTGAATTTTCAACATCACCTAATGGGGCCAACACGGGTCAGGTATTGGATATGAGTAATGAAGTCAGCTTTCGGCTGAAACTCGTGTCCATTAAGTGAGGCCACGAGCCTCGTCCGAACCCTAACGCAGCACTCGTGTTTAACCTTAGCTTGCGTTGGCCTCTTTATGTGACGTTGAAAATTCAGCCCTCCAGCCTTGTTGTCTAGGATGTTCTGCTCTTTCTCCCCAGTTGAGGAATCGCAGTTAAACCAATCCACACAGGACGTGTGGATTACGTTTTCTTACTGTACAAGTAGGGTACTGTGTTTTCGGACTTCGTTTTTGTTCGAATTCAAGATTTGGGGGGGGGGGGGGGGGGGTACTTTTCCCTACAGATTTGGTGTTTTTCGGTATTGATTTTTCGTGTCGGTCAATAAAGTGGGGCTTATGGTGCCTTACTTTAAAGATAGAGGGCATTGTTGCCGTAGGATTCCCCACCCTCGAGAGGAGATGCGCGGGACTTAAATACTTGGAGAATGTCCGTGTCCCCAATAAATAAGGAGATAAGGTTCCCGAACAAAGCCTCGCGGTCAGTTCAGTGCGGCTGTGTTCCGAGCAAATACCAAATAAATATAAAATTGAACTTTTTTTTTTCTTTTTTTCTGAAGCGTGGGTTGCTTTCATTGAAGAACAGCCACAATTCGGTTTTATTTTCCCATTTTCCCCGAGTTTAAAAAAAAGTGGCATGGGGGTTAAAAGGGCCCATGAGACGAATTTCGGGCTTGGATAAATGAATTTAGATTTCGATTTTACTAACAGCGAATCGTTTAGTGGGCCAAAAGGAAGACGGTAAAAAATCAAAAGCCTGATTTTGGGTACGAAAATTTAAAAATACAGCGGACTATTTCGTACCTCCTTCCCTTCGAAAGCTCTTCGCCTTTTCACTGTGATACATCCGCGATACCAAAAGCGCGTCACCCGGCCCAAACGCACGTCACACAACACCCTTCACCCTCAGCTGACAGTGCGGTAGAATCTATGCGCTTGTCGGACCAATCAGCCGCCTCCCTTTCCTCACCTGACAGCGCTTGTCGTGTACATTCTTCTCACTCGTCCTTCGTCTAATTTTTGCGCTTTGTTTTTTGTTGTAATGATCTCATTCTCTGCGCTTATGTATGTGCGAGAAAGCGTGATCACGTGGCAAAAGTGTGGCTGGCCCAACGAGCACGTTGCTTCCGCAGCACTGTCAGCTTCGGGGTGAGCGAGGTGGGGAAAGCAACTTTTGTCTGAGTTTCGAGCCACGGGCTAATCTTCTAGGAGGGGGATGGCGGTGTCTGGGGACACAAACGAGAGTCCGAGCAAGAGGGGAGTCCCTCCTTTCCGTCTACTTGAACTGTTTGGTACAATGCGCGATTTGTAAGTTGAGGAGGAAAGCTAAGAAGGAAAAAGTTGAAGAATCGTTTCATGACCCCTTTAATCTTGGAGGTTTATCGATATTTACCTAAAACACGGAATCTTGGGTATTACTCCATGTTCACCTCAGCAACCGCAGTAAAAAAAGGCCGACTCCTCGCGGAGCATTACTAATTTTCCCCTTTATGTGGATAATTAAGATATATGTGGGTGCATTTGAGAGTGGATACGTGTTTTCTTATCAAGACGTACACGTTTCAAATACCAGAAGCATCGGTTTTTCCTCCGACAACCGAATCTCGTAAGAACTACTTCGCGCCGCGTATGAACAATGCGCAAAACCCTTCTCTTTTTTTCTTGACGTGAAAACGGATATAGTTACAAATATGATTTTGTGTTTTCGGAGTTTATTTTTCGCCAAGTTCAGAGTTTTTTTTTTGGTTTATTTTTTTTGTCGAAAGTTTGAAATGTATCACAGTTTATATTCATTTCATTTCCCATTCTACGAAATTTGGAGCTTCATTTTGTAGTGGTTTATTAGAAAAAATGTCCGGATGCAAAACGTGTGCTAGATTTAATAGAATGTGCTCGCTTGTACTAATTAATATTTCTTCAACTTGGATGGAACAGTGCGGATGAACAGTCACACTCACAGGCACACTAGAAAAGAAAAATAAAACAGACTCGCAGCGGTGACTTACAACTTAGTCCCTATATTTCTTCGTTATAACATAAACAGAGTAATATCAGGGAATCTAGGAATTCATTGCCGGGATTGCTGGCGTTCAGCGGACCTGCGTAACTGCACTGTCATTGCCAGAAGTGGTAATCAGCTGACACGAGAGATCACCGAAGCTGAAAAAATAGCCAGGTTCGACAAACAATGTTAGTGTATCATCGTTCGCTTTATCAAAGAAAGAATTGGATTATCTAGAGATATCATCAAAGCACCAATAGTGATGAGAAATTTTTCGTTTAATTTTTATTAATTTTTCTTTAATTTAATTTTAAATTTATTTATTTTGTTGTCTTTCATTTATTTAATTATTAGTTATTTATTAATGTTTACTGGCTGTTTGGTCTCTGGTGTGTAAAAATTTAAAATTTTCTCATTAACGGCGAAGGCGAAGAACTTGAAGATTTGAGGAAGAAGAAATATAGGACTGAGTTGTAAGTCAGCCCTGCGAGTCTGTTTCCTTCTAGTGTGCCTGTGAGTGTGACTGTTCATCCGCGCTGTTCCATCCAAGCATGAATTATCAACTAGCCCAAGCATCCACATTATCATTGTTCAACTTGTTTGCAACTTTTGTCGTGGGATGTCCCACGACGAAAGTTGCAGACAAGTGTTGCTTCGATAAACGCTGAAACCTTAAAACCAATAAACTCCTTTAGGTAGCCGCTGGGAAGCTCGAATTCATCCCATCCATCAACCTACACCGCGGCCGCGCGGTGTGCGTAAAGGGTGTAATATAGAATCTTCAACTGTCCACCCCCTCTTCCCCCTTCTATAAAATTTCTATGGTTCACAGATGTCACTGTTACAAATACACAACCCCTCCTTCCTCTAAAAGGAACAAATGGTATGGCCCAAACTGGAAACCGAAACAGTGACTTTTGTCATGACCCGAAACACCTGTTGTCCTGGTGAACCTTGAAGAGATGACTGGTAAGATTCATTTTGTCAATGGTCCAAGATTTTAAAGAAAACTGGGTGACAATTTCTCAAGACCACTGACCCTATACGCTCCTCAAACTTAAGTGGAAAATAGCGGGGGGGAAGGGGGGGGGGGGGTCTTTTTTTTTTACGTTGGTACATTGAAAGTTGGAGTTTATCGGATAAATCCGAAATGACGAACATTTCACCGGCAGCTGTGTTTTGGAGTTTTTCGGATTTATACGAAAACAAGGAACCCTAGTTATATGTCACCGGAACATCCATGTCGCGTGCAAGGCTATACTCCTTGAACAGATTCCCACGTTTTATGCGGAGCACATGGATACGTCTCCCGGTGACTCTCGTGGATCTGTAAGCTTCCACAACATAACGCAATGTAAGCGATCGGTGCTGTCTGAACCGAAATTAAGAGCCTGAATTCACCATGTGTTCGTTGATAGGGTACGCAGCCTTAGCAGGGAAGATGCAGTTGGAAAGACTGGACACCAGCTTCCTAACACCTGTCTTCCGACACGCTTGCAGCACGTTGTCGTCCATGTACACGTTGTCGCGCTGAAGACAAGAATAAAATATTAATTACTTTTATGCTCGCTTATAGAGATATTGATCAATCACCGCATGACGACAGCAAAAAGTTTAACAACGTGTTATCTTGGTCCTTTATAAACAAGGCATCTATGAGAAAAGACAACACTGTTTCTATCTTCTCAGAAGAAGACTAAATTTGCATCTCTGATAATAGTATAATCACTATAGGTAATGGTCGAAAGGTGTCGGGAGTCGAGTAGGGAGCCTTCATGCGTGAACTGCTCAGTCAAATCGGTTCTGGACATGTGCCACCAAGTCCGAGATCGAGACTGGGGCCGCCAAAGCGAAGAGAAAAGCTGTAATTTCATTAGAGTCATATATGTTTGACTATAGTTCTGAGGTCCTTCAGTCTAAACCCCCCTTTACCAAGAAACCCGGCAATCTTTTGGGCGCACATGAAGTCCCTTGGATCCAATATACGAGCTTTCAAGAGTCAATTAATTAAATAAAAATAGAGCCATTAAGAAGAGAAACCTCTAGATGAAGGTTTATTTATTTATTTAATTTAACCTGCAGCGCCCAGGATAGGAAAGTGATAATGGTACAAGTGCACAAATGTATTCAAATATGCACTCAGATATACACAAAAATATACGAACACACACCAGTACACACATATGTACAAGCATTACTAAACTTGGCTATAAAAGAAAAACAGTTGTAGCAAAGAAAGAAAGCATTAAGTCTGCGGTCCTCCGGGCGCCATCTTAAACAATGCAGTAGTTCAACCACCAGGGTGGCGATGCACGACCGTTCGCGATAAAGTCGCCCGATACTTCTTTTACAAGTAACGAGAACCAATACATAATACAAATGATAAAGCACATTCCGCTGGAACAAAATGGCGCCATTCAGTTCAGACCTCTGCTGTTTGCCACCATTCGCTTCTTAAAACCAGCACCGTCACGCAGTCGACGCTTCAAAGAATATCGGTACTTGTAGGAAGCTCTTATAGGGACTTCGGTTCACGGACGGGCGTAAATGGGCAGTTTGATACTTTAGACCCGCTTCACGCGGCGGTACTGTGCGTGCTTCCATTCATTCGGCGCTCGATGCCATGGAGACGGCGAGGAAAGCAGACGAACTTTATGCTGCGGACGAACGCTGCGGCTTAGCGATACCAGGTGCGTTCTAAGGCCCTTCCCTCACGCTTTCAAATGGGCGGAAGGCGAGCAAAAAGAGTTCGAAATAAGGACTTAACGCAGAAGGCTGCATTTCTCCAGCGCCTCATAATTTGACGTGCCTTAAACGAAAAGCATGTTTTTTTGGCCATCCCGCTTCCTGTTTTTTTTTTTTTTTTTTTTTTATCCGTAACATAGGCAACCTGCAATGCTGTTTGGTTTGGCGCCATCTAGCGACTGAAACAAAAAATACTGGGTACCCTGGGAGTGGCGACTGCATTGTTCAAACGTGAACTTTTACTCTGGTGGCGCCGCTTAGCCTAGTGTCTGAAGCAAGAAATACTGGGTATCCCAGGAAGCCGTGATCGCGTAACGTGCCAGTAGAGCGGAAGTTACGGCCCTGCCGGGGCAATCGGAACGTGACTGCCTATCACCGGAGCGCGCCTCAACTCCGGAGAAGTATCAGGCTTTTCGCTGCGTCATGCTCCAATATGTGTGCATTGCGCTCGTATACGTCGCGCATTTCGAAGCCGCCGGCACGCTATGTGGGGCTTATCGTTTACCCTTTGCCAAGTTACAACGAGACAGGGTATAACGGTGCGCTCTCACCCTGCTGGCGCCGCCTGGCCGTTGCCGGTTGGCTATGGGTCTAAAATATCAAACGGCCCATAAATGTTTGCGCACGACACCGGTGCTGCTCCCTCACCTCTGTATGTACTACTTCTCGGGTGCCGCGTGACGTGGCACAGCTCCTCCGAGTTTCGCGCTGTCATACTGCTCAGGGTCACAGCGGCCGTATTTTTTCGTGCTATCTTAGACAAACAGTCTTTGTTATAAATGAAGGTCTCAATTTTACTTTTATATTTTAATTCTTCCTTGGAACAGAACCATCATTCTTCTTGTTTGACGCATCGAATGTTGACGCCTTTCCTTTTCTGTATAAACAAATATAAAAGTCGAGATGCGTTCAGTCTTGCTACCAAAGCCAAAAGTGCTAGCCAGTGTGTTTGTAGTCGTTTAGAAACTTTATTAGCACGGCGATACGAACATGTAATACAAAGTTGTAGAGATTACGTAATTTCTAAATCGTTCTAAACAGTTACGAAATTTAATGTGCACCTTCATTTTTTAACCAGAGATTTCAATCGTTTTTCTTCTCCCCGATTCCCATTGCAATTAAATCACTTTAGAGACATTTTATTAAACCATATTTTTATGTTGTTGTTTTTATCAAGTCTTCTTTTGCGCGCAGAAACTCACGTCAGGAAGATGTCCTTTAAGCTATGCGATCGTGCTTTTGCCACGCACCCGGTGTACAGAACTCTGGAGTTCCTTGTATTTCTAGCTATATTCTGATCCTAGCAGTGCCAGGAACTCGAGTGTTTTGATATCTTTATAATCCAGCAGCGGATTTTCTTTTAGCACATCATAGTATGATGTACTACAAGGAACTCCACCGGCATAGTTACCAAGAAAAATATCGGAGAGGAAAGCCTTTTTCTGTCTCCAATGGAACACCAAATGGACGTACGCTTCTATAGCAATCTACAATTGCTTGGAAAATATTATTTTAAAACCAATAAATTGTTCAATCGAGGGTGCTTAGCAACTGCTACTTTGCAGCAGCTTACCAGAAGGGAGTCACTGTTACAGAAGGCTTCTTCGGTGTGGGCGTATGACCCAACCGTACAGATCAAATGGAAATAAAGAATACAAAGAAATCAACAACCAATATTGTGGTATAGCCAGGATTTGAGCTCCGGGTTTCTTCACAACCGGGAAGGTGTGGTAACCACTGCGCCGCTCCAATATTTTTTACACTGCACCACGCCACTTTATCATTCAGAATTTTCTATTTGCCTCACAAATGCTGCAAATACAGCAAGTATCCAATCGAATGTGTTTTAGAGCAGCGGATCTAAATATTTTGACCGTTGTGGACCCCGTAACCGTTCTCTCGTTCTTGCTCTCGGGAACTGCATTTGCTCTTGAATCACGGTCCTCGACTTTCTCGGCAGCTCCACTTCGGAGGACTCGTCAAGGCTATTCAGCTGGAGAAAGGAGTAATTTTCCATCCGGCTGCTTCAAACATTGAGGTTCTTGATAATTGCATCGATCTTGTCACGCGCACTGAAGGTTCTAAACGTTTTCCCCGTGAAGATACAGGTTCAGATGGCCATTTCACTAAACGCTCTTGAGGACTCTTGGGGATCCGCGGACCACAGTTTGAAAGCCGTTGTTTTAGAGGCGCATGAAGACGCGGGAACGCCGGACGATATTTTTTGGCACGTCGTGCTCCTTGTGTTCCAGAGATCAACTTGCTGTTGGCCCCGCCACGTGTACGTGCATTCTCTCTTGTTCATTTCCAACTTTCTGAGACATCAACGCTTCGGCGTATGCACTAAAATGCTTATTTCAATTGAACAACTACAAGCATCGAAATGTTCCCCGGTAATATTTTAGATTTCAGTCAGAAAATATCAATATGAAGTAATGTAATTACAATCTTGGATGCGTATAATTCCACGGCGCTACATTTTTTGCTTGTTTTTTTTTTTGCATTTAATATAATGGGGAAAGTAAGTTCGTCTGCTTCGATCAGCACAGAGGTTGCGATGATGTAAGAACGCCGAACACTTATTGACTGATTGAAAAAAAAAAAAAAAAAGAAGTTGGTAGGCTTAAAGGCATCGAGCATTGAGGTCTACCCACTATCCTTTCGATCAAAGCCAATCAGAGCTCGCCGTCCTTATGACGTCACCGCAAGGCCTACATAAGAGGCAGACGACTTGCTCTCCGCATAGGTTACATTTATAAAATTATCAATTTCTGGTTTTCCTCACGAAAGATTCTAATCCCCGATGACTGTAATTGCCTGGACATCATAGAACTCACATCAACTACAATTTTGGTATTTCCTCGAAAACTTTGTTTCACGTAATGTCCCAGAAATTTGGCGATGTACGGCTCTAAGCCCTGTACTTGACGTGCAGCGCACCATGATGGTGGCCGTTCTATCCTTGTTCTTGACGAGGAAGACAAAAGCAATTGTGCAAAATGTATGTTCCACATAGTTCCGCGCTCAGCAGCAAGGACGTCACAATGGCCGCTCATGTAACGTTAATGCAGGTCTTTATGCTCGGTTCTACATGTAGTGCACAACAAGTATACAACACTTCAAATCTGATTGCTCGAGCGTGTGGCTTCATCTTGCTGTTCATTACCACGTGCTCTCGAGAGAAAGCCCACCCCTACAACACGCGCCATTGGCTCAAAGACGGCTTTCTAGAAGTAGCGTCTCAGCTAAAACAGGATAAAAGAAGCACTGCCAAGCTAGCGCATGGGCGTAGTGGCGTCTCAAGACGAGTCTCACGCGATCACGCGCCCCTGGCTTCGCAGGCTTTCTTTCACGCAGTCTGCAGCTAAGATATGCTGTCTGTAGCAAACCGACCCTGGACTTTTAGCAAAGGCTGTATAAACACAAGGGGCCCACTAGATTTATTGCTGCCGATACCAGCTACATAGAGGTCGGTATAAATATCCACCTTTTCTAGACTCTCTTTTTCAAGCCGAACGCACTTGTACCACATGTTGAGCGGTCTTTCCATACTCTGCAAAAACCACAGTTTGGAAGGGCATCGCACTCCAGCCTAGAAAGCAGGTTGCAGCTCATGTGACCACGAAATGGCGTGTACTTAGAGATTTCTCCGTGGTACTGAAAAGGTGATAACACCTGGGGACCTGATCGGGCAGTACATATGCGTGCCCAAACGCCCGACGACAATGAGGCACGCGCGTTTCCCATGACTGTCCGTTTGGCGGCATTGCGGGCCCTGTGCGCCT